ACGTCAGACGAATAAAGTTCTTGTCCTAGCGATCGCATCTGTTTCTTCTCAACTTTCTACCTTGCCCCCACACGACAAAGAATCCCGCTTTAGAACCGTTTTGAAGAACTTTTTGGATCTGACAGCAAAAAGTCTATTAAGTTGTTACTAAGTGAACTCTTTGGACCGAATATGTCCACTTCGATGGAGGTATCTAGGTAAGGATGGTCTAGATGGCCTCCTAGACAATACATACGAATAGGAATGTTCGGTCTGAGTAATAAGGGTGGACTTGTGTATAATTACAGGATAGGTAAATTTTCCCTTCTACTAATCCGAACACCAAGTTAAACCGTGCCCTACTTCTAACCTGAACCTTCCTATAAAACCTAAGTCTACAGTAAGTAATAACCCAAACTTAATCCTTATTTACCTGAACACTAAATTTAGTCCTTAAATTAAACCCAACCTTAAGTCTAACCCTATTTTCCGTGGAATTTGGCGCAAATACACATGTATTGCTGGCGCTTCCTGCGCTCACATCCTGATTAGGAGGCCAACTAATTCGTTTCTACTGGTCTTTATCAATTCCTCCCTAAAACTTAATCCATATTAAATTTAGAAGAGTTTTTAACCAGAAGTACTAATTCTTCAATACACCTCTTCGGGGAAAAATAAAGGGAATAACGTGTGACCATTGTGAGGCATTCATGTTAAACGTGAGCCCTTGCGACATCATATTTATTGATAGGACATCAAGCAGGTATTTGAGGACGTACATTTGATTTCCGGAGCAAGAACCTTATTAGTCTGAAATTTCTGATTTAAAATCGAGCCAATGAGGTAGTGAGATAAACATTGGGCAGGGGAGGGGGAGGTGGATTGCAGTATGTACTAGGAGGCGATAGATACTTTGCCGCCGCGTGTTTCTCGACTGACACGCCGCGGTCGAGTCACTGATCGCTGGGCTTTCATCACGACAACCATCTGTCTCTGAGGCTAAATTCGGGTAAAAATCCCCTGTGTTAGGCTCAAACCAGAATTGTCTCTTGTCTTTTGTGCTTTTTCCCATTTATTGCTTCGAACTTTTCGCTTCACATTTATCGGGGAGAGGTTATTTTCACAAGTCCTCACAGGCTCATTAATACTCATCGAGCGCATGTGCCACTTACACACTTATTTTGACAGGTTGAGTCGCTGAACATGGAACTTGGGCGCGAATTGGTAAGCTTCAAAGGGACAGAATTTCACCATTGTCATTCAGCCAAGCAGTGACTATCGGCTGTTTAATGGTCAACCGTAATCTGCCAAAAGTCTTAGTAGAACGGCACGAATCCCGCTATAAAAGAAAAGGGCGTTGGGAGAGACTAAGTGACGAGAAGAGAGGGGAGGTGAGAGTTCAAACGTTTTTTTTTACTGCTTAAGTGTTTTAACACCATCTATGAAGGAGTGTGACTTCTCAACTTACGTCGACTATTATCAGCGATATGCGCGAAACAAAGCACGGCTCGAATCCACCTTTTAGCGCCTCCGTTCCCTGAAGGGCACGCTTAATTAGTCGAATAACTAACCCCACATTCCCCTCCCCCCTCCGGTTTTGGCGACAAGGCATGTGCTTTGTTTAATTTTGTGTGAGAGGGGCAACGGGGAACTGTTGATTAGAGGTTACCGTGTCTGAACAGAGTGTGCGTGCCAAAAATATTCGTTGCAATGATCATAAAGCAGAGGTAACAAATAAAATATTCTAACCTGATGGAATCCCAGGTAATGTTCCACGGTTTTGCACACCGAAAAGACCTCTCCATCGCAGGAGACGATGAAAATGAACCCGTTGAGTGCCTACAGAGTTGTAAAAAAGCACAAAAATTAGAATAGAAGAAGTTATTACTCTAGCGATTACTTATATGGTTCCCGTGGCAGGACCTGGGAACAGGAACCGTTCATACTACAGGTGGTTTTTGCTAAATTGCAGGACAATTTGGGTTCAAACTAAAGTTTGGTTTAAGTTAAGGTTATGGCGTGATTAAAAGTAGGATTACGGCTAAGATTTGGTGTGGATTAGAGCTAGTGTTTGCGTTTGGACATGGGAAGATTTACTTATAATGCATTTAAGTGGAAGGTCATCCGTGTTACAGAGGTCCCTATTTCCGTGCCCTATCGGTGTGTGGCCATATGAGGAATAATGACAGCTAATACGCGCTCCTGTTTCGAGCTTATTCTGCCTTCATTCAGACAATCATAACCCCGATTACCTGCTGGGACTGGAAACCCAAACATGCGCTCCAGTACGGTGCAGATAGTCTACATACTGGGTCTAGCAGATAGATCAAAAGGACTTCATCGAAAAAAATGTCGTCAGTGCCTCGCTCCCTGTTGCTGCAGAAGGACCTATTTCAGTAGTCCCATGCATTGTAATCTGGGGATGGGCGCCATTTTTTCAGATACAGCGGAAATACACCAAAAAGTATGATAATTGTAAAAAATCGGATTTCTTACGTGGAGACTCGCTTCGCCTTCAACTTCAGTAATGTCGATTGGGCAGTGATAGAGGTGGGACACCAGACGATGTTCCATTATCGGGTGATCATGACCCAGAGCTGAAAGAAATCACAAAATTATCTCCATTAGCAATCACAGAACATCCGAGCACCAGTTCAGTTTCCTCATGATAAAACGATCTCTTGGTTTTCGTTAATTTATTCTTGTCCTTAAGAGGTCTCCCTCCCCCGTTATGACTGGGCCCACTAATAAGAGATCCCGGAAAGAAAAAGTAACAAGAAAGATCCTAGGTCTGATTTAATGCTACAAACCGCTGAACTTTGGCGCCAAAGGACAAGAGCCCGTGCAAATGCTCACGTCAAAAGTCTTGGTAAATGGAAAATAAAAGCAAATGAAGACTACAAAGGTTGAAAAGAAAAGTAGGATATAAGGTAAGCAAGTAGGTGGTTTTTCCTTATCTTATAGTGCAAATACCTCTGCCCATTTTCTCAGCACCGGTACTGACGAGCAGGATTCATGTCCTACTCACCAGCGCATCCGAAAAACTACGATGTCTGTATTCTTTTATTACTCGGCTTCCACACTACAGAACGCCTGTTGCCAATAGAGGAGAATATACGAGTTCCAGGCAGCAGTTCAGAAGAAGA